TCAGCCTAGCTCACAGCAACCTTGGACTCCTGGACTCAAGTGATCCTCCTGCCTCAGCCTCCTGAGTAGCTGGGACTACAGGCGCGTGCCACCATGCCCAGCTAATTTTTCTTCTTTTAGTAGAGACGGGGTCTTGCTGTTGCTCAGGCTGGTCTTGAACTCCTGACCTCAAGTGATCCTCCAGCCTTGGCTTCCCAGAGTGCTGAGGTTACAGGCGTGAGCCACCGTGCCCAGTTAAGAATCTACGTTTTACCAGGCTGCCCCCCAGGCCCTGGCCCCAGCTCCCTCCAAGGCAGTAGGTGACAGGTCTGGGCCACGGGCCCAGCTCTCAGGGACTGTGGTCTTCACTGTGGGGAAAAGCGCTTTGGATGTGACGGGCTGGGTTTGCCTCCCAGCTCCTCCTCTGACCGGGGTCTGTGAATAGAGCCCTTGGCACAGTGGATCTCATGGAAGAGTTTTAAGTTGTTCTTGGTGAAGCGGGAAGAGCCTGGTCTCTGCAACTGGACTCATCTCTTGCCCTGCTGACTTGGTCTCCCCATCTGCAAAATGAGAATAACGATAGTATCTAACTCAGCCAGTTAATGTGACAATTAAATGAGCTGATATATATAGCGCAGGGCCTGGCACACAGGACGTGCTCAATAAATGATCACTGCGGTTCTCGTTCCCGAACCCATTCTGCAAGTCAGGCCAGGACAGCTGAGCCTCTGTGGCTCCTTCAGCTGCTGTCTGGCCCCTGCCCCGCAGGCCATACAGAGCCGGGACCGGATCCAGCTGCAGTATTCCCAGAGCCTCATTGAGAAGGACCAGTACCGCAAGCAGGTGCGGGGCCTGGAGGCCGAGCGGGATGAGCTGCTGACCACACTCACCAGCCTGGAAGGCGCCAAGGCCCTGCTGGAGGCGCAGCTGCAGCGGGCCCAGGGCGGCGCCTGCCTCAAGGTGAGCTGGGTCAGGATTGCAGGGGCCTGGTGGGAAGGGTGGGGTCCTGGGGGCAGCTTTTGGCCAGGGCTGGACACATGCAGGACGTGGTGGGAGACCTCAGCCAGGGGGAGGGAACATGGGGGACCTAGAAAGAGCCCTCGGCTGTGGGTGGGAGCACTTGGACCCAGGCTGGGGTGGGTGTGGGTTGGTGAGAGGCCAGGGGCACGTTGGTCTCTGAGTTTCTGGGGCTGCTCTTGGGACACTAAGAATAGTCTGAAGCCTGTCTTTGCATATACTTGGGGAAGCGTGGCTGCCCTAGGGCCTGTGAGTATGTTGGAATTCAAAACCTGGGCCTCAGAGTCCAGCTAGTCTAGTCTAACATGGGCCTAAAAACCTGCCAGAGACCAGCTGGTCTAGTCCCCTCATTGCATAGGGCCCAGAGAGGGCCACAAGCTTGCCTATGGCCACACAGCCAGCCAACACTGGAGCTGGGCCTCTGGGCCCTGTGTAAATCAGACACTGGTCCTCAGGCCACTGCCAGGAGCACTGCCTTTTCCCATCTGGGGTTGTTTGAAGACAGCTCAGCAAGCTTGATGTTCGACGCAGTGGGGCCTGGAGGAATAGAAGGACGTGAATTTGTGACTTCTTCCTCGTTAAAACCCTCCATGGCTGTTTTGCTCTTACTTGAAGAGAGAGCCCCCTCTCATTGCCAAGAAGCCCTGCAGATTGGGCCCCTCTCTTTCTCTAGCTGGTTCTTTGGGTTTCAGCCTTTTAATTCCTAGAATGTGTCCTGCCTCAGGGCCTTTGCACATGCCAGTCCATCTGCCTGGACCATCCTCCCCAACTCAGTTCTCAGTTCAAACCATACTTTTTCTGGAAAGCACTCTGATGCCCCCAGTCTGTGTAGGGCCTTTGAGGGCTTTCCATGCCCTGGGCACCCTTCTGCTGTCATCTCAGCTTGGGGTCATTTTGTTCATCTGTCTGCTGGTTTATTTGTCTCCCCATCTAGACTGTGAGCTCCATGAGGGCAGGGGTCTGGTCTCGTGTGGTGCGGCTCTGTCCCTGTGCCTGGCACATGGCAGGTGCTCAGTAAAGGACTGTGGCTGGCCTGGGCCTAGCACCGCTCACCTCCCCTCTTCCTCTTCCAGGCCTGTGCCTCCTCCCACTCCCTGTGCTCCAACCTCAGCAGCACCTGGAGCCTGAGCGAGTTCCCCTCCCCGCTGGGAGGCCCAGAAGCAGCTGGGGAGGCGCCTGTCCTGGGGGGATCTGAGACCCACACCTCGGTGAGACACTGCCCCACCCCAATATTAGGGGATGCTGATAACATCCATGTAATTACCAATGAATAGAGTCCTTTCCTCTTCACTGAAGGTTCCATTTTACAGGTGAGGACACTGAGGCCCAGGGAGAGCCAGTGCCTTATTTTAGCTCACCCAGAGCCAGCGTGGTGCTGGGCCTAGGTGCCAGGGGACCTGGGGGGCCACTCACACACTAGAATCTTGTAGAGCTCCCTCCTCTGCTCTGGGCCCTACTTCTCATCTGTGGAATGGGCATAAACCAGGTGCGTTGAGGACTGGGCTGCTGCTGGGCAGAGGGGTGACCAGGCCCTGTCGTGGCGTTGCAGGAGGAGGCCACAGACAGCGAGAAGGAGATCAACCGGCTCTCCATCCTGCCCTTTCCCCCCAGTGCCGGCTCCATCCTCCGCCGGCAGCGCGAGGAGGACCCTGCTCCCCCTAAGAGGTGAGATGGCTGCGGCCAGCAGTGGAGGCCAGGAGGGAGGGGCTGCTGTTCCCTGGACAGCCACCTCCCGGAACCCCCAGTGTCAGAGCCAGGCCCATGCAGTCGCTTCCCTTTACTGCCCTCAGGTGGCTGGAGCTCTGGAAACCTGGGCCCCGCGAGCTGTAGGAGTGACCGAGGGCAGGGGTTAGGGTGCGGCCAGAGGGCAGAGCGCACTCAGCCCAGCGGAGCACCCTGGCAGGAGAGTCCCTGCAGGTCCAGCCTTGAAGATCTTAAGCCCAAGGGGAAGCCCGAGGGTCAGGAGTAGAAGGCGTGGAGAATGTTCCAAGGGGTCAGGGGCCTCAGGCGGGAAAGCCGGGGCCCCAGGTTTGGACATCAACAGCAAACGGGCTGGAAAACCAAGCTGGACCTACCGGTGGCAAGACCGAGGGCAGGAGAGACGCTGCCTCCCGGGGTGGGGCCCCATCACGGCTCCCCCTGTAGGTAGCGCTTGGTTTATTCCTTTACCGATGAGGGGCTGGGCACTGGGGGCTGTGACCAACGTGGGCTTGACCTCAGTGAATCTGCCCTGATGGGGTGTCTGGGGAGGACGTCAGGTCTAATTCGGGCGGTACACCCAGGAGCCACGAGCAACAAAGGTAGCAAGTGAGGGTGAGATGAGGGGTAGAGATCAGGGCAGCCTTCCAGGAGGAGGCGGCATTGGAGGAGCTGGCTGTGAAAGGCAGGCCAGGGCATTGTAGGTGGAATGACGTGCAGCAGAGGCCTGAGTTTAGGGGAGCCGGGTGTCATGGGTGCCTTGTGCCTGGGACCCTGCCTTCAGTCTAGTCTGCATGTGCTTGGGGGCTATGGGACGTTTTGGTGGCCTGGGGCAGGAGGAGGGAGTGGGGCAGAGTACCCACTGTGCCTCACCACCTGCCCTCTCCCTGCCCAGGTCCTTCAGCAGCATGTCGGACATCACAGGTAACAGCCCTTGGGAGCCCCGCGGGGAGGGCCCATCTCGGGGAGTGGCAGTGCTACCCGCTCTGTCCTTGGTCTGTGTCCCTTTTCCTGTGGCCCTGGCCGGGCAGGCAGGTCCTGCTTGGGAGGCCCCTGGGGGATTTGGTTCAGGCTTCTCACCTGGAGCCCAGTCCTGGCCCCTGCACCCCTGTTCCTGGCTGTGCTGTCCCGGCCTCCTCACTTCCAGCCCTCCCTTGTGGGGCCCAGCCCAGCCCTGAGCCTAGTGGGTCTGATGTGCTCCTGGGGCCTCAAACCTGCCTGGGCTTGCCCTGGGCTTGGGGGTTGCTCAGTCCCTCCTGTGGACCCCGGCCATCCATGTTTCCCAGTCCCGGACCCCTGAACCTCACTCTTTCTCCCCAGGGAGTGTGACACTGAAGCCCTGGTCCCCTGGCCTCTCCTCAGCCTCATCCTCCGACAGCGTGTGGCCTTTGGGAAAGCCGGAAGGCCTCCTGGCCCGGGGCTGCGGCCTGGACTTCCTCAACAGGTACTGCCGCTGTCCGGGGTGGGCGGAGCTGAGGGGCTGGGTCTTCGCTGCTTGAGGGGGTCAACAGGGGTGAGGTGGGAGGGAGTAGAAACCTTTGCTTTATGCAACTGCTGGAATATTAAGGTCTTCAGATGTTGGCAGCCCTCGGATTCAAATCCTGTCACCGCCATTTATTGTCCCTGTGACTTGGGCTGGTCATTTCATTTCTCTGGGCCTCAGTTTCCTCAGCAGCTAAAGGGGGATGGTGATTTCTTCTGCATGTGGGTATTTTAGGTTTATGTTCCTGGAACCAAAGCACCCAGCTCTGCCAGGCAGTACAGGCTTGTCCCAGCACCCTACATGCCAGTGTCCCGGGCTCTCAGCGCCCAGCAGGACCGAGCTGTCTAGCAAAGCTTCGTGCTGGGGGTGGGGCTGGGGCTGGGGGCACCCTGGGAGCCCCTGTGGCTGAGCTGGCCACAGCCCACAGCAGGAGTCACAAAACACAGGAGTGCAGAGTGAGCGGCAGCCAATGTGCTGTTAGTGTTGGCGACCAGTGGCCCAGTTCACACCTGCCAGCGGATCTGGGGGTGGGGGATGGCGGGGCCACACTGAGGCCGTGGCCTTGGAACTCGGGTGGGGGGAGCCACAGGGGGACTGTGGACGAGGGAGAGAGGGGGAGAGGGCTGGCGGGGGCTGGGGAAAGGAGAAAGTCAAGGCCGGGCTGGTCCCCGGTGGCTTTGTGCGTCGGGCTGGGAGAGTGTGGACTTTGGCTTGTGCGCGCTGGGAAGCCTGGGGCGTTAGCTATTATTAAATGCAAGGCCAGCTGCCGGCTGCCTGACGGCATTCTCTCCGTCCTGGATGTAGGCGTTATTATGGTTATCCGTGTTTTGCAGAGGAGATAACTGAGGCTCAGAGAGGTTAAGCACCTTGCCCGAGGTCACACAGTTGGGAAGTACCAGGGCCAGGTCCACAGTAACCTCATCAGACTTGGGTTTTGGAAGGGGCACGGGAAGCATCCACTGTCAGAGCCAGAGTGTGGGGCTGCTGGGTGCATGGGGACAGGTCACACAACAGAGCAGGACTGGGGCCTCCTGGAAGCGGCTTGGCCAGGCCGGTGTCCTGGCCTCTGCCCCCACCCTCGCCCGGCAGTGGGCCCAGCATGACATTGTTTCTGCCTGTGCAGGACGTCCTTCTGGGGGAAGGGGTGGAGTCGCCTCCTTTCCTGCTGGCCTCAGCCCTTCCTCCCCTCCTCCAGCAGGGGTCCTGGCCACTGTCCAACAGCGCCAGGATGCAGCAGAGGGAGCAGGGGCCTCTGGCCCGTCCCCCGCCTGGGCCCCGTGGTCACGTGGGGCCAGCTTTTCTGCCCATGCTGTTCCAGGACAGGAGGGAGTTGGGAGAAGAGCACAGAGGGGATGGGCGCAGGGGTAGGGGACTGAGAGAAGGAGAGGTGGGCAGGTAGAGGGAGAAGGGGGCCGGCACGGTGCCCAGGTGGGACAAGTCTCATGTCCCCTGGAGCCATGTTAGGGTGAGGTGGGGAGGGCAGGCTTTGGAGCCAGCTGCCTGGGCTCAAGTCCCAGCTTTGTCACTTGCTACTGTGGGGCCTTGGGCAAGTCACTTAATTTCCTAGTGCCTCAGTTTCCTTCTCTGTTAAATGGGGTCAAATAGTGCCTGTCGCCTAGGGTCATTGTGGGGGTTCCAGTGTTTCTTCTGGAGTGCTTAGAATGTTCTCGGTGCATGGTGAGTACATGCCAGCTCTTAGCTGTTGCCGTCGTTGTTGTTTAACCCCCAGAGTAGCTTTGCCAGCCTGGTATTTTCAGCCACCAAGGCTCAGAGAATCAGAGACTTGTCCCAAGTCACCGGCCACGTGGTGCTGGTGTGGGGACACCGGCGTGCCTTCCTGCTGTCTGCGTGCCCGTCGATCTCTGGCTCGTGTTGGTGTCCAGTGTGTGCCGGCACTTTCTTTCCTCTTTCCTGTTTCCTGCCCATCGTGTCCCCTCAGCCACTCTGCCCTGCCCTTCCCGGCAAGGGTGCTGGGACACGCTGGAGGACAGGTGGACGAATGGCGGGTGGGGAGACAGCAAGGAAGAGCCCAAGAGTGAAGTGGGGTGCCAGGTGAGGGGCAAGGTGCCTCTCCCAACCAACTCCCGCCTCTGCCCCCCAACTCACGTGGTCCCAGAGGGTCTCTGGCACCTTTTGTCCTGGAGTAGAGAGGGTTCTGATAAGTCATTGTCTGACTCCACCACCCACCAGCTGTGCCACGCTTGTATAACTTCCCTGTGCCTCAGTTTCTCTCTCTTTTTTTTTTTTTTTGAGACAGAGTCTCACTGTTTTGCCCTGGCTAGAGTGCCGTGGCGTCATCCTAGCTCAAGCAACCTCAAACTCCTGGGCTCAAGCGATCCTCCTGCCTCAGCCTCCCAAGTAGCTGGGACTACAGGCATGTGCCACCATGCCCGGCTAATTTTTTCTATATATTTTTAGTTGTCTGATTAATTTCTTTCTATTTTTAGTAGAGACGGGGTCTTGCTCTTGCTCAGGCTGGTCTCGAACTCCTGAGCTCAAATGATCCGCCCGCCTCGGCCTCCCAGAGTGCTAGGATTACAGGCGTGAGCCACCGCGCCCGGCCCAGTTTCCCTCTTTTTTAACAGATGCCCCCGTGGGATTGTGGGCATTAAGTGAGGTAGTCAGTACAACATGCTTAAGTGTCAGCATCAGGTCCCTGACCTGGGACGAAGCAGGCACGCAGAGCCTAGAGGTCTTCCCACTGTGCCCTAGGGTGGGGGACACTCCCTGAGGCTGCTCGGCCCATCACTGCCCAGAGCTGGCAGAGCCGGCAGACTTGGCCCATGACTAGCCTGCCTGTGACCCGACCTGACCTGACTGGGGGAGGGGCTGGGAACCCTCACCTAGTGGCTGGGGACCCCACAGGCAGCCGCCTACCCCCACTTGTTCTTTCTCTCCCTTCCTGCTTGTCTGAGTTTGGGGGCCAAGAGGAACCCGATTTGGACCCTGCTCCTGGCAAGCCCCCACGCGGACTCTGTGGACCCTGAGAAGTGCTGAGAGAGGCATTGCTGGTCTTGGAGGCTCTGAGAGGTCATTGATCCTTCAGGGTGGTCAGCAAGCGTGTCCTGGAAGAGGGGGTGCCTGAGCCAGGTCTTCAGGGAGCAGCAGAAGTTGGCGAGAAGAGCCCGAAAACCTGGGGTGGCCGAGGTCAGCCTTCATGCTCCAGTTGCAGGGGGAAGTGAGCAGGGGTGGGGCGGAGAGGGCCTGGGTGCCAGCTGCTCCCTGGGCTCTTGTTTGGGAAGGCCATGATAGCAGTTGTCTGTGGGTTTGAAACAGGTGGGGAAACTGAGGCCGGAGAGAGGTGACTTGTCCTGAATCACACCTGACACCGGTAAACGTCTAGTTTTTACTGAGCATTAGTGCTTACTGGGCACTGTTCTGAGAGCTTCTCGTGTCTTAACTTGCCGAGTTGTGCAGTGAGGGAGGGGGCTGCCAGGCGCTGGAGGCTGAGCAGGCCGGCCGCCCGGCCCCGGGGTTCCTGGTGGTGTGCTCCTGCCACTTTCCTCAGACTTTCCCGCCACAACCCAGGGTGAGAGGGACCCAGGACCCACGGCTGAAACAGAAGGGTAGCGAGACAGTGGTTGGACTCCGCTGGGGGGAGGCAGGCTTGTATTTTTGGTTCCATTCCATTAAAAAACTGTGCTGGTCATGACCGAGTGAATGTCACCACCCACCAAGGGACAGTCCTGCAGTTTGAAGGTGGAGCCCTCTGGTTTCCACCTCTCCCTGTGTTATTTTTACATTTACTTGACCTTCCTCACGCACGGTGGGAAGGGGTGCCGCCGTTGGCATCCTCGTTTTGTGGATGTGGTGACTGAGACCACGCATGTGCCCGTTGGCCCAGTCTGGGGGACACTTGCCCCTGGCGTTTGGAGCCAGACTGTGCTCCAGCCACACAGCCACCGGCCGGCATGGTCAGGCTAGATCTCAGGCTTCTCACCTCTGCCCAGACCTTCCCATGCCACCTCCATGCCACCAGGACAGCGGGTGCTGAGTGATGCCTCCCATCCTCAGGCCTGGCTCTGTTTTGCCGGAGCGGGCAGCGGCGCGGCTTTCCTGGAGCCAAAGCTTCCTGCTCCCCAGGGTGCTGCCTGGGGTAAGGTCCTTGTAGCCTCGCCCACCCCGGCTGGCAGCAGGGGACAGTGAGGCTTTATGTGGGCTGCAGCAGCCGTGGTGGGTGGGAGGCTTTTCCGAGCTGCCTCTCTGTCTGGAGCCACCCACTGACCCAGGCCTTGCCCCCGCCCCATGGCTGGGGGGCTTGGAGGGGTCTTTGGTTCAGTTTGTCTCTGAGCCTGGCCACAGGGCCTCGCCAGCGCTCATCCAGGGACAGGCACAACCCTGCACGATGGGGATGTTGGTGACGCTTTGTCGTAACCGTCGGCGGCTCCTGCTGCCCGTGGGAGCAAAGCCAGATGCCTTCGTCCCATGCCGTCCGCAGGCTGGCTCCGGCTTGCCTTTTATGGGAGCTGTTTCCCAGGATGTGAAATTAGTAATTAGGGCGAGGAGCTCCGCGTGGTTTTCGGCACGTGGAAGCAGCCAGCGAGCCTTTGCTGCTACCATTACTGTCGTTGTTGTTATTAATTCCCTCCGCACGTCCCGTATTCTGTCCTCCACACCTTTGCTCACGCCATTCCTTCAGCCTGGAACGCAGTTGCCTTCTGTTCTTCACCAAGGTGTAGCCAGGCGCTTCTTCCCCGGAACCTCTCCCCTCTGTGCTTCCACTGCCGGCTGTACCCATCCTCGGCTCTGTGCTGTGTGCTAGTGGCGACCTCCTTCCCCAGACTGTGAGCATAACAAGATTTATTAGTCATCTGTTATGTGCCAGACACTGGGTTTGGTGCCAGGATACAGAGCTGAGCCCTGTAGAAGTCTGGTCCTGAAGGTGTTCGTTCTGACACAGGAAACAAAAGGGAACCAATGCAAAGCTGCGGCGAGGTGCCGCTGGCACTCCTGCAGCAAGCTCCACCCCCCCGTGTGCCCAGGGGTCTGGGGGGAGAGGCTGCTTTTGACTGGAACTTGGAGGATGAACAGCATTTGCCAGGCAGAGAAGGGAGGGAAGGGCATTCCGGGCAGAGGGCACAGCAGATGCAATGGCCTGAGGGTCCTGGCATACTTGGGGAATGGCATCACTGTAGTTCTCTGAGAATGTTGAACTGAATCAAAGTATTGATTGGACTCTAATTCCCATCCCCCTTCTCCCTTCTCAGGTCTCTGGCCATCCGAGTGTCTGGCCGGAGCCCCCCAGGAGGCCCAGAGCCCCAGGACAAGGGCCCAGACAGCCTGCCGCTCCTTGGGGACAGATGGTCTGGGGCGGTGCGGAGGGTGCTGTCCGGGCCTGGGTCTGCCAGGATGGAACCCAGAGAGGTGAGGCCCTGCCCGCTGAGCTGGGGGCGGGGTCAGTGCTTTAGCCATGGCTGGACACTCTATAATTGCTGGATCAAGATCACTGGGCGAGGCGGGCATGGTGGCTCACGCCTGTAATCCTAGCACTCTGCGAGGCCAAGGCAGGAGGATTGCTCGAGGTCAGGAGTTCGAGACCAGCCTGAACAAGAGCGAGACCCCATCTCTCCTCAAAATAGAAAGAAATTAGCTGGACAACTAAAAATATATAAAAAAAATTAGCCGGGCATGGTGGCACATGCTTGTAGTCCCAGCTACTCAGGAGGCTGAAGCAGAAGAATTCCTTGAGCCCAGGAGTTAGAGGTTGCTGTGAGCTAGCCTGACACCACGGCACTCTAGCCTGGGCAACAGAGCAAGACTCTGACTCAAAACAAAAAAAATCACTGGGCGGAGCTTCTGGGGCTCAGCCAGCGTTAAATGAAGTCTGACTGGGCAGGGGCTGGGAGGTGGGACAGACTGACCGCACCTTGACAGATCCCCACCATTAAATCTGGGGAGAGACCAGGATGAGCTAGCCTGGGTGGGGGGTCCCGTGGATGGGAGCGGATCCGGCTGGACTGGACGTGGTAGTCCCCGGTGAGGTGGGGCTTTCTGAATTACGAGGCTCGGTCACCCCCACACCCGGTCTTCCTCCTCCAGCCCCAGGGTCGCTCTGTCCTGGGAAGCTCACTTCTTTCCCTCCCTGCCTGCGTTTTCTCCCAGTCAAGGGCGGAAGCTGCGGGCCTGGAGGGGGCATGCCTGGAAGCCGAGGCCCAGCAGAGAACCTTGTCCTGGAACCAGGGGTCCACACTCCCCTTCCTGATGGACTCGAAGGGTAAGTCTGGGCCGGGGGAGGGCCTGGGAACTCACGAGTCCCAGAAGGTCGGAGCTGATGGCCCGAGAGAGGCTCATCCAGCTCATGGTGCAGGCGGGAAAGCCAAGGGCCCAAGAAGAAGCTGGCCTCGCCCCACTCCTGCCCCAGTCGCTCCGTCTCCTGACGCCTGGCGGTGCAGCTGCCTCCTGTGTCTGTCCTTGTGCCCTTCTCTGTCCCTTCCTCTGTAAGCAGCTTATGTTAGGAGTCCAGAGACCTGGGTTTGAGTCTTGGTTCTGTCCCTAGTAGGCTGGGTGGCCTTGGGCAAGGCCGCACTCCCCTGTGGACCTAAGTTGCTCACTTTAGGAAGGGGAAGGTGGGGTCCTGGCAGCTGTGGCCTCCAGAGAGCCATGTCTGATCCCTGACCACATCTTCCTCCTCTTGTCCTCTCTGCTGCCCCCTGCCCCGTCCACGCCCAGCCTGCCAGTCCTTCCATGAGGCCCTCGAAGCCTGGGTGAAGGGTCTGTGTGCCGAGCCCTTCTACATTCGAGCCAACCTCACCCTGCCCGAGCGGGCAGATCCCCACGCCCTTTGTGTGAAAGCCCAAGAGATCCTTCGGCTGGTGGACCCCGCGTACAAGCGGCGGCAGGAGTGGTTCTGCACGCGGGTCGACCCCCTCACGCTGCGGGACCTGGACCGGGGCACTGTGCCCAATTACCAGAGGTGATGCAGGGCCAGGAGCCTGGGGATGGGGTGCTCCCTCCTCCTGCAGTCCCTCATCGTCCTCTGGGACAGAGTAGGGGTTTGAGGAGAGGACAGGAGGGGCCCCCCTTCTTCCTACAAACGTGTGACATGACTCTCTCCCACAGAGCCCAGGAGTTCCTAGAAGTTCAGGAAAAATGCCTGCCCTCCAGCCGGCACCGAGGCCCCCGCAGTAATGTAAGCAGGGCTGGGCAGGCAGGGACAGGGACACCAAGGGTGGGGGATGCCAAGGGTGGGGTCCAAAAGGGGAGAGAACAGGCTCCACTCTCTGGCAGCCCTGGGGGAGGAGAGGAGGGCCATCCCCCACCTGCTCCTTCCCCAGGACTTAGTTGATCATCTGCTATGTGACCAGCAAACAGAAGAACAGTGGTGCTCACCACCCAGGGTAGTTTAGGGATTAACTGAGATAGAATGTGCCCAGTGCTCAGGAGCACGCCTGGCACATAGTAAGCATCCCACAAGACAGCAGTCACATTCCCTTTTCCAGTGCCTGAGTGGTGGCTGGGCCGGGTGGCCAGCCCCACTGTGCATGTGGGCACGGTGCGGCCCAGAGACATTAGGTCAATGAAGAGTGTGGGCTCTGGAGCCGGACGGCCCACATTTGAATCCCAGCTCTGCCACTTCGTAGCTGCGTGACTTTGGACAATCACCTGAACCTTCTTTGCAGCTACGTTTCCTTATCTGTAAAGTGGGGAAGTTACGCTACCTGCTTTGTAGGCGGTGTGTGGCTTTGGTGAGTTAATGCCCATCAGGTGCTTAGTGTCGTCACCTTGCAGGCATTTGACACCTGTCAGCTATTGGCATCATTAGTGCTGTCATTATTGGTTTCATTAATCTTCCTACCCAAAGTCACGTTGCTAATTCATTGGAAGAAACCCTAAAGTTTGTCTCTTGTGTGACATTCGGTTCCTCTTGGTCTCTGGGCCTCAGTCTCCCCATCTGTAAAGTGGGAGGTAGACCTAAGACTCCTCCAGTGCGCTCTGATGGGCTTGCTTTCCTGGGGCCCAAGGGACAGCTGCCCTCGCCTGCCTTCAGGGCTGTGCTGGGCCCGGCAGGGGAAGGAGAGGGCCCGGGGGGAGGGGCGTCTAGTACTGACCCAGGCTCTTCCTGCAAGCTTGGACAGTGGTGGCAGTGGGGCCGCTCTGCCTGGGGTCCTGTTTACTCTCCTCTCTCCTTGGGTGGGAGTGGGGCTGAGCTCTCAGGTGTCCTTCTCTCCTGTCCCCTCCCCAGCTGAAGAAGAGAGCCCTGGACCAACTGCGGCTGGTGAGGCCCAAGCCCGTGGGGGGTGCTGCGGGGGACTCCCCCGAGCAGCCGCTGCTGGAGCCCTGCTCAGGTGAGCGTGCAGGTGCGCGGGTGTATCCTGTGCTGTGCGTGGTGCCCGGGAGCGTGTGCATCTGGGTGGCCCTTGGCCTGGAGGGCCTGTCGTGATGGTTCCAGTGGGGGCAGGGCTCCCCCTGGTGGGAGGACGGACTGTCACGATTGAGGGAGACCCTGCGGGGAGGTGACTGTGGGTCCGTGCGAGTTTGGGCCACGCACGAGCGCGGGCCCGTGCTTGTCTGGCAGAGCACGTGTAGCTGTGCTTCTCACACGTGTGGTGGCAGGTGTCCCTGGGACCCAGGGGGGTTCCTGGAGGCAGAGGGCGAGGCCTTAGGCTAGATCAGGGAGAAGGGGCTGGGGGAGCCCATGTGGGGGGCCAAGGGGAGACGGTGGTTAGGGAAGAGAGGTTGTTTCAGCTGGGGCCTTCAAGGGTGACGAGGGCCTTGTTCCAGGCAGAAGGCACAGCCTGTGCAAAGGCACGGAGGCACCCGGCATGACGAAACAGCATTTAATGTTCCCTAGTGTGAGCTTCTGAGCGCAAAAGGCCTGTCAATAATCCACGGGCCACACATTCTGGTGACAGCAGCTGGCTCTTCCCTCACCTGAGAGATGGAGCCCCTGTGAGCCACGGTCCTGGCTGTGCTTGCCGGGAACACACGTGTTAGTGCCCACATTCACAGGGGTGGGGCGTGACATTTGTACAGGAGAGAACCAGTGACACAGGTGAGAGGAGAAACCAGGTGACCGTGGGACCAGGGACGCCACAGTGTTCACACGTGTCCACACACACGAGAAGTGCGAGCTGGACAGTGGGAGTGTGTGGTGCGTTGATGTTGGGGACAGCAAGTGAGTGCTGGGTCCTGGGGACGGAGGGTCCCTGCCCTGTGGACTTCACTGTCCAGCAGGGAGGCAGATGATCGGATAGTCACACTGGGAACGCTAAATTGGACAAGGACTGGGTGCCCTGGAGCACATGCCGGGGCCCTGCCCGTCTGGGGCCAGGGAAGGTGTGACTGGGCTCTGACCGGGCTGAGGCACAGGGCGGGGCGTGGGGCGGCCCCGCGGCATGCAGAGGCCCTGCGGTCGGAGGCAGCTGCGGGGAGAGCTTAGGCAGGAGTGCAGTCTGTGGCTGCCAACCTCCCCAGGCTCCCGGCAGGGCTGCGTCCCCCACGTGGGGGATGTGGCATTTTTCCTGAGGATCTGGGAGGTCACGGGTGTGTTGAAAGCAGGGGAGTTGCATGGTCTTTCGGAGCCTTTCCAGCTGAGTGGAGAATGACCTGCAGGGGGCAGACAGGAGGCAGGGGGCGGGAGGAGCCTTCTGCTGCTGTCCCAGTGAGGGGTGTGTGTGTGTGTGTGTGTGTGTGTGTGTGTTTGTGTGTGTGTGTGTGTGTGTGTGTGTGAGTGAAGAGGAGCGGGACGTGCCTGCACCCTCATCTCTTCCACACCCCTCCCCTGCCGCAGAGCCCGAGTGCAGCCTCAAACCATACAGCCTGGTGCGGCCACTGCTGGTGTCCGCCCTGCGGCCCGTGGTGCTGTTGCCCGAGTGCCTGGCGCCCCGGCTCATCCGCAACCTGCTAGACCTGCCCAGCTCCCGGCTGGACTTCCAAGTGTGCCCAGCGGGTGAGCCTGTGTGTCCTGGGAGGGAAGGGCTAGGTGACACTCTGGGGCAGCCGGGCCCACTGGCCCTTCATCCCTGCCTCTCCTTCCCCATCACCCACTGCAGAAAGCCTCTCTGGGGAGGAACTGTGCGCATCCTCGGCGCCTGGAGCCCCCAAGGCCCGGCCTGCCACCCCTGGGCTGGGTAGCAGGATCCGTGCCATCCAGGAGTCTGTTGGGAAGGTAGGTGCTGGCGCTGGCCTGGAAGGGGCCAGCGCCATTCTGGGCCTGAGAACCAGTCTGAGTATGGGTCGTGTTCTGCCTACTTGCAGGGTGACCCTGGGCAAGTCCTTTCCCTCCTGGGGTCCTCATTTTCCTCACCTGTGACCTGGGTGGTTTGGAGCAGTTGACCGTATACGGGTCACCCTTGAGGTGTTCAGCGGATGCGGCTCACCTGCACATCCTCGTCCTGGAACTCATCTCTGTCCCAGGAGCTGGCAGGGGGCCATAGGGTGGTGGGTGGGCCGGCATTAGCTCCAGTCTCCAGATGGGGCGGCCGAGGTCCGGAGGGGGACATTTCTCCAGGTCACCCGGCGAGCCCACTGTCTCCTCTGCTGGGTCCCTTCCTTACTGCCAAGGCCCCTCTGGGTGGGGAAGCAGGATGTGCACCTGCGGGAGGCTGCAATAAGCGTGGGAGTGGGTGTCTCTGGGCCGGGAGTGCAATGTAGCCTCAATCCTCCGAGAAGAAGCACTGCCTGTTGGAGCTGGGCGCGCGGGGCGTGCGGGAGCTGGTCCAGAACGAGATCTACCCCATCGTCATCCACGTGGAGGTGACCGAGAAGAACGTCCGGGAAGTCAGGTGAGGGGTGGGGTGGGGCACGCGGACCGGTGAGCTCCCTCTCTCCCCCCTCGCCCTTTTCCTCTCCCCCTTTGTCTCTGTCTCTCCCTCCGTTTGCTGTCTGTCTCTCTTTTTGTCTCTGTCCATCTTCTGTCTCTGGCTCTTCCATCATTGCGCCCCTCCCTCTGTCCCTCTGTCCATCTTGATTGCCCAGTCTGCCCTCTGCCCTCTCCGACCTCGGCCCTCTCCTCTCCTGGCAGGGGTCTGCTGGGCCGGCCAGGCTGGCGGGACTCGGAGCTGCTACGGCAGTGCCGCGGCTCGGAGCATGCGCTCTGGGGGCTGCCCTGCTCCTGGGTGCAGGTCCCCGCCCACGAGTGGGGCCACTCGGAGGAGCTGGCCAAGGTGGTGCGCTGCCGCATCCTGCAGGAGCAGGCCCGCCTCGCGTGGGTGGAGCACAGCGGGGGCAGAGGCTGCGGGGGCAGCGGCAGCAGCGAGGCCTGAGCCCGTCTGACACCTGCACTTCCTCCTGCACTTCAGAAGCCAGCGGGACCGGTGTCTGTGTGGAGCTGGGCCCTCCCACCCTGAGCCTTCCAGTCCCTTGGACTCCTGGAAGTGGGACCCTCGGCTCTGGGCTCTCTCGCCATAGGCTGTCACTGGCCCTGCCGAGCCTGCAGGAGCCCAGGGCAGGACTCCCCACTCCTGAACTTGCTGCTTGGGCCATCCTGCCCGTCCCTGTGTCCCCATGTTCCCACTCGTGGGGATCATGTGTGTGTCCACGTCCTCTCCTTAAACACTCACCCTGGAATCTGTGTTCTCACACCTGTGCAAAGGTTTGCACACCCAAGTTCTCATGGGCAGACTCAGGTCTGTCCCTCTGCCTGGGCGCATGGGGTCTCCTGAGGTCCTGAGCCTGTTCTGCTTCCAGGAGCACAGAGCCCGTCACTGCGTGACTCCCACCGTCCAGCTCACATTTCTCGTGTGTTGGCCACATGTGAACACTGCGGCCTCCCCGGCCACGGTCACCTCGTTTCTCCTCTCACCTGTGTCAGCGGTTCTCTCCTGTGTAAATGTCACACCCCACCATGGGCACTAACAGGTGTGTGTTCCCGGCAAGCACAGCCACGACCGTGGCTCACCGGGGCTCCATCTCTTGGGTGGGGAGGAGCCGGCTGCTGTCACCAGAATGTGTGGCTCGTGGATTATTAACGGGCCTTTTGCACTCAGATACTCACACTATGGAACATTAAATGCTGTTTTGTCATAGATGCTGGTGGCCTTCTACTTGCTCATGTCCCTGGCCTGGAGCCCCTCTCCACCCTCCCCTCCACCCCCACCCCCAGCTCAGGCTGACACCACCTCTTAGGTCCCCACTCACCCGCCTGTCGGGAGGGTCAGATTTCCTGCCTGTCTCTTCCCAGAGCCGCCCGCCATCTGTGCTGGCATCACCTTACCTGCCCCGCATGACCGAAGGCAGGCCCCAGCGATGGGCCACCAGCGCTCAGCCCTGCCTGCAGCTGATCATCAAATGAGTGTTCCCTGGAGCGGGGCACCAGAGCCAGCAGGGCGTGATCTCAGGCTGAAGGGACTCGGCTGCTGAGTCCGGGAGATCAAGAGCAAACTCTCGGCTCTGCCATCAGGTCCCTGAGACAGTTCGACCAGAGAGAGAACAGTCGCTCCAATGGGAGCAATCCAGGCAGCCTTACTGGAGGAGGTGTCACTTGAGCTTGAGGGTTGGGATTCCTTTCTTCAAGAAGCATTCATGGGACCTATGTGCCTCTGTGCAGGTGACTGTCCTTGGTCACAGTGAGGAACTTGGGCAGGCCCCTGGGGGTTTTGGGGGCGGTGTACGTGTGCACTAGGTGGAGGGAACCTCAACAGCAGAAGCTCAAAGGTAGGAGATGGATTGGGTTTGGCCACCTGGGGAGCAGTGGGAAATGAGCTTGGGAAGTCCAAGTCCAAGGGTAGGGCTAGGGGTGCAGAACGCCATGTTGAGCTTGGGCTGTGTCCTATAGGCTGAGGGAGTCTGCGGGGTGCGAGAACAGGGCTGTGGGGGCTCAGGTGTGGGGTTGCCTCAGAGTGTCCAGGCCAGAGTGGGGGCCGTAGAGCAGACAGGAGAGGAGGGGCTCTGTGGCCTCCCGGGTGGGTCTGGGTCTCCGTGTTTGGCAAGCTTAAGAGAAAGGGGCCTGGGCTGGGAGTCTGGGGTGTGGGCGGAGAGGGCGTGGGGATGCTGAGAGGGGATGAGGGGCCTGGATGTGGGCTGGAGCTCCATGGGAGACAAGGGAGGAGGTGGGTGAGGGGCCTCAAGACTGGGCCACGTGGGATAAAGGTGGTTGGGAGGGGAGTTGCCAGGGTGGAGGGTGGGCCCAGGCTGTCCCAGCAGCCGGGAGAGGCATCTTTCCCCAGATGGGGTGCAGGGTGCAGGGGCAGTGTGGTTTGGTTGAAAGCCAAAGTCTTGGCCAGCTAGGTGACCCGTGGTAATTCGGATGACCTGTGTTGTGGATGGTGGGCTGGGCCATGGTGGTGCCGACTGGCCGCAGCCGGGCTGGCAGGTGCGGCTGGGGCAGAGCCATTGCTCAGGAAATTTCAGCTCCTTCCACTGTCTCCAAGACAAGGGGGGCCTTTAACAAGGTGAAGATTGGGGCGGCAGGGGAGGCGGAGGGTCCGTGGCTGGAGCTTGAGGCCCACCAGCCTGTCACTGCTGTGGGGTGCGGGCTGGAGTGTCGGACCCTGAGTGACAAGGGTGCAGCCCCCTGCCCAGGAGTCGGGCATGATGTCCCTCGCCACTCTGGGCCTTCCCAGGCATAGACCCTCCCCTGTCTGCAGCGCAGCCTCCCCACCTCGGGCAGTGGGCTCCAGATCTGCCCTTAGCTGTCCTGTTGCCAAAGCTTTGCTCATGCTGGGCTCTGCCTGTGCGGCTCTTCCTGCCTGAATCCTACTGGCCTTTGAAGCCTGGCTGAGACACCATCTCCATGAAGCCCGCTGGGTCCTCCCAGCCCTGTGACGTTTTCTGGGCCATGCCACTTCTGCAGATGGGGGTCTGTGTGGCCGTCTCTGTGGATGGTTGTGGTTCCCTGGGTGTGGGGGCTGGGTCATGGGCATTTGGGCAAATGAACCTCCCACCTTCCTGCTGCGTGCCTGGCCCAGTGCTGGCTTGGGAGACCCAGGAGCCTCGGAGAAATGCTGGAGCCCAGTGGCTCAGCCGCCTTTGCCTGCCCCCCGTGTTAGCTGTCCTTTCTGTGGGGTGGAGAAGCCCACTCTTCGTGTAATCGTCATCAAGTCATATTTGTGCCCCCATTTTACAAATGACGAAAGTAACTTCCTAGGGTCACACAGCTCGTGAGTGGCCCAGTTGGGATTTGAACCTGGTCTGTGGGGCATAGAGCCTCATATTGTCCCTTAGTGGCTCTGTTCTGAGAAGACAGGCTGTGAAGGGCCCTGGCTGGGGCTGGCCCATAGGAGGGTGATTCCAAAGGGTTGTTTTCCCTTTCTGTCCCCCGACTGTCCTCAGGCAGGGTTAGGCTGCAGCAGGGCCAGTTCAATTTACCAGCCATCTGGCACTTTCTTGTGTTTAACTGACAAATATTTACTGAGCACCTATTATGTGCCAGGTGCTGTTCTAGGCACTGGGGAGTGGGGACTCCATGATTTAGAAAGAAGAAATCCTGCCCTGATATTCTCAGGAGGAAGGCAGACAATAAATAAGTAAAACATATAGGATGCTGGGAGATGAAAAGTGCTATGGAAAAAACAGCAGGACAGGGGGCCTGGGAAGGAGGGGAGGGCGGTGCAATTGAAATAAAGGGGTCAGGGAAGGCCTCAGGGAGAAGCTGACGTTTGTGTAAAGACCAGAAGGAAGCGAAGGAGTGAGACGTGCAGATCTCTAGGGAGAGTGCCAGGCAAGAATGACAAGTACAAAGGTCCTGAGGTGGCCACGTGCCTGGACCCACCGCGAACCCAGTGGGTCCGGAGTGGAGGGAGCAAGGGGGGCGTAGGAGAGGGATGGGGTGTGTGGGGGCGGCGCATGCAGGCCTGGGGGCTGCTGTGTGCTTTCTGCCTGTTGTTCTGAAGGAGACGGGAGCCAGTGCAGGCTCGGAGCAGAGAAGGGAGGAGATGTGAGTGCCCTTGTGCAGAGCGAGATGGAGGTGTGGCTGGAGAAGGCCTTCTGTCCCCCGGCCGGGCTGGGAGAGAGGCAGCCAAGTGAGGTGGGCCATGGGCCGGGCCGGAGAGACCAGATTCCACCTGGCTCTGTAGCTGAGTTGCTGGATCATCCTGGATCTTTCTGTGCCTCTGTGCCTTATGTCCACAGCTATAAACTGGGAATGACAGTCCCAGTGCCGTTGGGAAGACCAAGGAACTGAGCAAACTTCTGTGGGAGACCCAGAGGCTGGGAGGGGACATCAGGGAAGCCTTCCTGGAGGAGGAAACCCTTGAGCTCAGCCTGATAGTCCCAACAGAATTCAGCCTGGTGGAGAGAACGTGGGTGAGGACTGCAGGAGATGGGGAGAGTGTCTGGAAGGAGAAACAGCAGAAGCTGGGAGGCCGGATGGCCTGGGCCGGGGCACTGTTTGGTACTGGGTGTTGGATGAGCCCAGCTGATAGGTCTCTGGGGTGTGGGAAGCTGGGGGCCCCCCTTCCATCAGGCAGGGAGGTTTGCTGTTGCCTCCACCCCCACTGCAGCAGCTGGCAGGGCCCGGCTGCCCCTCCAGCTGGGGCCTCCTTTCCAGCCACCTCTGGGGCTCCCCTAGCCAGGCCCCGCCCCTCGGGCTGAGCAGGGGCGGAGCCAGGCAGCCCAGAGCAGCCGGGCAGGGCGGCGAGCAGGTGGAGGGCTGGCGGCGGGCTGCCATGGCTCAGCCTCCGGGGCCAGAGCCCCAGCTCCCACCTCTGCCCTCCCGGCCGGCCCCCGATGCCCGCCAGACTTTTGCCTCTGCCGGGGCTCCCGTCTGACCAGCGTTTCCTCCCTGTCCGGTTGGGATTTGGGGGCCGAGCTGTCTGGGGTCCCAGGGCCAATGCAGTGCCGGCTCCTGCGGGGCCTGGCTGGAGCCCTGCTCACCCTCCTGTGCATGGGGCTCCTGTCCCTACGGTACCACATAAGCCTGTCCCCCCAGAGGGTGCCGGAGACCCCAGAGCTGAGCCAGCCGAGCTCTGGGTCCCAGGAGCTGCAGCTGCAGGATGTCTTCATTGCCGTCAAGACGACCCGGGCCTTCCACCGCTTGCGCCTGGAGCTGCTGCTTGACACGTGGGTCTCCAGGACCAGGGAACAGGTGACAAGTGGGAGACTTTGGGCCCTGGGAGTGGCCCCTGGCTCGAGGGGCTCATAGAGGCTTTTCTGCTGGGCTGGGGCCCTTGGGTGCCTCAAGGGAGAAGCTGCCCGCCATCTGCCTCGTCCCGGCTCACCTTCCCACTTCTTCCTCCCTGGCCTCCAGGGTTACCTGAGGCCTGGCCTATGCCCCTCTCTGGCCCCGACTCCGGAGCATCTCAGGCCCACTTCTCCACCTCTTTTAGGAGCCAGGTTGGGCCTCTGCCCCAGGATCCTGGGTCCCTCCTGGGCGTCCCTCCATCCCCTGGCCACCTCCAGCGTGGGCTTCACTCCTGCCCACCCTGGCCCAGGCTGGCATCCGCGGTGCTGGATGTTGGGCAGCTGGGTGGGGGCCTCCAAGAGATCTTGACGCTGACCTGCCCCAGGCCCTAGGTGCTGTCCTGCCCTGGCTCTGAGGGTGGAGGGTGGGGGCAGGGGCATCTAGGTGGGGCCACTTCTGGGGACGCATCCTTTCAGGCTTCCTGGAAGCCCCTGCCCCCACGCCTCTGCTGCCCAGGGTGTGCCCAGGGAGCTGGCGTCTCCCCTCCTGTGCTGGCTTCCTGTGGGGCTGCTTCCGAGGGCGGGCAGGAGAGCGTGTGCCATGAGGGTGGTAGCTGAGACCGTGGCGGGCCAGAGGTCGGGGGAGGCGGGCCTGGCGAATGGGGTCGTGTGTGTGTGTGTGTGTGTGTGTGTGTGTGTGTGTGTGTGCTCGTGCGTGTGCTCACATGCCTGGCCGACGTGTGAATGTTAGACGTGCTGTGACAGAGGCGTGTGGGTGCACACGTGGTGTGCAGCTTCTGGCTTTTGGGGGGCAGCTCCAACAAGCTGAACCCCCTGCAGCCCTTCTTGCCTTAAGCAAATCAGTGATTTGGGGTGTCGGGACCATCCCTGGGGAAGTGGAGGGTGGATTCACACATACGCACACGCCCCGTCCCTACTCTGGTGGTTGGCTCGGTGGGAGGAAGTGACTGAGCTTTTGAGGGGGTTGAGAGCTCTTCTGAGGCCAAGGGGGGGTGGTGATACCTGGAAGAGGCCAGGGCCCCTGGGGAACGGGCCCCCCTGCCCTGAGTTCCTGGCACCAACACCTTTGCACAAGGGGTTAATCCCTCCCGAGGTGGGCGCTCAGCACCCCAGCTCTGCCCTGGGGCTCCACACAGCTTCTCTTCTTGGTGAGGGCCTGGTTCCTCCTGCGGAAGCCGCAGAGGCTGGCCCTCCCCGCAGACCTTCCTGTTTATGTGTCTGTGTGTACCCGGGAGCGTGGCCTCACATGGTTCGAGGCCCTTTCCTGTCTTGTCTGGACCACCGTGGCGGTGCCTTTGCCCCGGATGAGGAAACTGAGGCCAGCGAGGAGGAAGTGCTGGCAGCATCGCCCACAAAGCCTGAGGGGGCAGAGCCCAGTGGGACCTGGCCCCTGCCTCCAGGCCTGGGAGAGGGTCCCCTGGGCCTTCGGTCTGGGTGGCTGTGCCTGGCAGTCCCCGGCCGGCAAGGACAGGCAAGCAGTGGGCCCTTGTACGTCCCAGGCTCCATCCCAGAAACTCATCAGGCAGCAGGGTGGGGGTGGGGGCGACCACCAGCTGCTCTGCCCCTCTCCCGTTAACCCTCGCGACAGCCCGAGGGGAGACATTGATATTCC